GACACCCTTAATAGAATCCCAGTGTCTTCCAAAGGGCACCTCCTTGCAGCACCACTGTGCGCTGCCTTCTTCAAGCTCCAGGTTGCTCCCCAGGTCCTGTGGGATGGGGAGTCTGCAATGCGCATGGCCCTTGTGTGGAACGGCACCGGGCAGGCTGCTGGGGGCTGAACTACCACGGCTTCACCACCAGCCGCTGCTCTGCCATCCAGGCTCAGGAACCGCACTCGGGGACCTCAGATCTTTACAAGGAGTCTGTAAGTTTCAACTGTTTCTAGGGAGCCTACCCCTGAAATTCACAGGCAAGTGAAACACAGAAATACCAAGAGGGTATGTTTGCAAGGAAAATAAAAGAAAAATCTAATCAAGTGAGGATATAGGTTTGGATACATGAATATGGACCACTGGAAATGGACATGATTTAAAAGGCTGAGATTAAACACAATAGATTGGATTTGCCTGAAGACATTTTTTGGGACCAAATATATAGAATCACAATATCCACATTAAAAGACAGAAATCTTTTGCTTTTTCAAGAAGGCAGAATAAAAGTAGATTTAATGAAAAGATGCCACCCTCCACGATAGCTTAAAAACTAAAAAGCCTGGCTCATCGGCATCTTTGCCCCGCTCCCTCCTGTGGGAGCATGTGACATGGTTAAGACAAGTTTACTGTCACGGCTCAGGGGTGCCCTGGCATCTGGCCAGCGAGGCCAGGCATGGGTTCCCCTGTGCCCTGCCCAGGACCACCCACCACCAAGTCTCCCAGCCCAGAGGTCAGCCCTAGCGGCTGCAGTACATCCATCCGCCTGTCCCCGCGTGGCCCCCAAGGCAGCCTGGTTTTGCCTCCCGGCACCCGGCACGGCATGGGTGGACCAGCCCGGGACGGAGACTCACGGTTGAAGAGGAATGTCTGCGTACTGAATAAAGCGGCTGACCCCAAAAGGGAGAATGAGAGCTCGGGGTAAAGCTGCCCCAACGGTCCCTCGGACAGGTGCAGCCGGGAGGCCTCTGCACGGGACAGGACTCTGAGGCTGCGGAGGCACAGTCCCATGCTGAGAGGGCTCAGAGAGCACCCTTCCCACTCTAGGTGGTGGCCAGCCGCTGCAGGGCAGGGAGTTCCTGTCAGCATTGAGCACAGCGGGTGGGCGGAGGGCAGGAGCTCCCACAGGGAAGTGTCCCGGGCGGGTCCCTGACCTTAGCTCAGTGACACCCAAGGTGGGAGAGGAGACGACAGCGTGCTGGCCTGCAAGTCCACTCTCCTCCTGGGCACGGTGATGCTGCAGCGGGTTCTGACCACACTTCAATCCCCAAAAGACCAAGTTTCAGGAGGCCATGTGTAAAGCAAGAAGGAGAGTCCCCGCATGCCAGCAGCAGCTCGGGGACTGAGGCCAGGTGTCCTCTTGTGCCCTGGGCATGAGGAACATCTCAACAGGAACAGCTCAGCCACCCTACCGAGTGGGGACATGGTGTGCGATGTTGGAATGGCCCCTCTGGAGAGGTCAGATGGATGTCGGTGCAGAGGGGTCTGTGAACTGGGAGTGCGGGGAGCACTGGGAGCTGGGGGTTCCCCAGGGACGGCTTAGAGGAGGGAGGCGTCCAACCCCTGGCCCAGGGCAGCCGCTGTCTCCCGTGCTGAACTGACCGAGCCCTGGGCTTTCTGTTCGTGATTCCCCGAGAAGAAAAGGCGACCGAGCTGGTCTGTTCCTTTGGGGGTTTCTCTGCTGCTTCTAGTAAGAGCTGGGACTTTCACGAAGGACAGGCCAGGTGGACGTTCTGCGAAACAAGATAGGATGCCCCGAGGTCACTCTGCTTTTTAGGGAACACTCCTGCCTCTGGCCTCACAGAGCAGCTTGTCCAGGTGCCTTCTGCTCACAACCCCCAAGTCACACCACACACTCAGCGTTGGAGAGAAGAAAGAGGCGCTGAAAACACGCGCTTCACCCCAAAACTCCAGCCCTTGCTACCAGCTCTCGCGGGACACGTGAATTGTCACCAGTGTCCCTAGAAAGATGTGCCTCGAGTGTTTAATGAAGCCAGCTGGGGCCCATCTCCGCATGTGGAGGTGACGGTTATGAACGTGGCAGCTCTCAGCAGTCCCCTCTGTCACTGACGATGCAGCAGACAGCAAGGGACAGAGTGGGGAAATCAAAACCAGGAGTCCTACTGCGAGGACGGGGGCCCTTCCAGCAGTCGTAGCCGGTGACTGCCTGTCCTCTGCTCTCCCTGCTCCTTCCTGCACCCTTTCCAAAGGTGTCCCTTCCCGATGGCAGATGGACAGAGTGAGGCAGCACACCTCACCTGGACTTCTGCCCCCCAGCCAGGGATCGTGCTGTGTGCCCACAGACGAAAGGAGCCCCAGCCCTAAGTCAGACGTGCACGACGGCCTGCTGTCCCCCGGGCCTCAGGTGTGGGCACCATTTGCCAGAGGATTCGGAGGTTCGCCCAGCTTCTCCCACTGTGGACTGTCAGAGAGCTAAGGTTGGGAGACACTCCTGCCTCCAGCCACAGGGACCGGGCGGTGCAGCCCACAGTGGCCGTCCAGGGCGGCAGGCTGCAGTATGGTGTAGGAGGTGGGGGTGCTGAGGCCTGGTTCCGCTCAAGGCACCACAGTGAGCCCAGCTGTGCTGCTGCAAACAGCATGACAACTGGGAACACAGTGGGCCTGTTCAGAGAGCTCTGCCTTTAGTAAAGCTCCATAAACAGCAGGAGGTAGTCAGTAATCATTAGAAGGCACTTGTTAGTTGTTGAAATGCAGCCAGATCTTTCGAGATGTTTCTGCCCCATGTGTGAAAGGCTTGCATGAGACACTTGGGAAAGGAGCAGATCCCCAGGAAAGCCTAAGCCTACTCCAGGCTCTGGGGGAGCAGAGGAACCCATGAGGCGGGGGGGG